GGTCAACTTCTTTATACTGTTTAATTACATTGAGACCAATACGAAATTTGTATAAAAATGAGCTGTGATTTTTTTAAGCAAATGGTAAATATTGTTACCACTGCACAGTGGGATAGATTGCGATTCTAGCCGGGAAAAAAATCATTTTTGTCATATTTAAATATGTCAGTATTTTAGCTTGGATTCTGTTAATAGAGATCCCTTCTATAAGAAAATGGCATGAATACTTGTTTTAAAGAAGACTAGGGCACCCCCAGCTTCTCTTATCTGTTGGTGTTGACGGAGGAAGAAATGTTTATGTTAGTAGTCACGTTCCAGACAGCTTGGAAGCAAGACCCTTGTAGCAGCAGACGAAAGGAAAATCTTTTGACATTTTAAATGTAAATTATTGAGGAAGGTGTGTATTCTTTTTATACATATGGCACGTTAACTTAATTATGGCGTTTTTACTGGTCATTTTTCATCTTTCCGATGTTCACATAGACTTTTAGTTGCAAGAGTCATCGAGAGTGACGATCAAATTCACGTGAAAATATAGATTAGAGTATGCACTTTAAGATGAGACCTGTTTCGATTGCTAGTTTTTGCTAATGTGAGTGTCGTGGATTTTTTTTTCCAGAATTAGGAGCACGTCCGCCAATCTCGCGCCGAGAAATATTCCCGTTGTTATGAAAAAGAAATACAGATTATGATGAACTTTGTGCTGATATTCTTAAAAGATTAGATATTGTAGAATGTTCTTCCGAAAATATAAACCGTTTAAGAGTGATTTTGAAGAATATTCGTAGCAATTTTAATAAAAAGTGGGTACAGTGACTCCGCAATAAGAATTTCTTTTTAGATAAGAATTCTAACTGGTTAGACGTGAATCTAAATTTGCCAGAAACATTAGTAGAGCAGATAAAATAAAGTAAGAGGGATGAGCCATCGACAAGTGGGGTCAGGGGTAGGTGAAGAAAACTTTTTCAAGAATGTAATGATAGAGGAAAACGGAAAAAATTCAGCCTTTAGTGGAAAATCACGAAGAATCGGCGAATGTTTCTGGAATTAATGAAGATCTTATTCGCCGATTTTCTATAATTTTGTGCACCTTGTCCTGTGGATCCATAGTGAATGTTGAGGCATTTGATAAATATGCCATGGAAACAGCAAATTTGTATGTTAATTTATATCCATGGTACTACATGCCTGTAAGTGTCCACAAAATACTGATTCATGGCGGAAAAATTATAGAATTTGCCATTCTGCCTATCGGATTGTTAAACATGAGGACGAGGAAGGATACAGCTCTTCGGATGAAGAATAATGCTCTGAGTTAAATATTTATGTATTAATGTTGTGTATTCGAAAGTAGAGAAACTTTTATAATAATATTTGTATTTTAGTGATATTTGTTTCTACTAATTTTAACTTGCATGCATTATTTTTCCGTATTTAGAGGCGTATTTCGCCCTTTTTACACATAAAACTACTTAATATTTATTATAAACTAATGTATCACACTTTTTGCTGTCAGAATTTTAATTTTCAATATTCAGATTAAAAAAAATCAAATTTCGATATTTTTTTCCGGCTAGAATTGCAATCTATCCCACTGTGCACTGGGTTTTAATGGCTTAAATGAAGTTAAAAGTAAAACAAATGGTACTTGAATAGACAAGTAGGAAAGAAACAATAGAATTAAAGCCAGAATTTCGCATACTTCGTACATGGATATGATTTTTTTTTTTTACAAAGTCGTATCAAAGTACGAAGACACTTTTCATTTAAAAAAACGTCTCCCGACTTACCCGCACAAATTGACGAGTATCTCTTCGCAACAAACAAAACTTCCCTAACCAACTGCCGTGCGTCACCGGACGCTCGTTCTAACGCCATGACCCAAACTTATCAGTTCTACTTGGGCATATAAATCGACCGGAAATGCTAACACAAACAATGGAGAATTTTCTTCCTTGATCATTGCGCCATTATCCACGTGTTTCAGAATGTTGATGCTAATGCAATAAATTACTTCGCCTGGACTTACGAAACGTCAAACGAAATGCGAGGCGAGAGATGTTTGTGCTGCTGCTGCTGTAAGAACCATAGGATGTTGACCAGGGGTGTACAATCTAAACGCTCCAGTGGTCCAGGGGATTTAACTGCACAATATTAGCGTCCTTTTTCGAAGAATCGGCGAATGTTTCTGGAATTAATGAAGATCTTATTCGCCGATTTTCTATAATTTTGTGCACCTTGTCCTGTGGATCCATAGTGAATGTTGAGGCATTTGATAAATATGCCATGGAAACAGCAAATTTGTATGTTAATTTATATCCATGGTACTACATGCCTGTAAGTGTCCACAAAATACTGATTCATGGCGGAAAAATTATAGAATTTGCCATTCTGCCTATCGGATTGTTAAACATGAGGACGAGGAAGGATACAGCTCTTCGGATGAAGAATAATGCTCTGAGTTAAATATTTATGTATTAATGTTGTGTATTCGAAAGTAGAGAAACTTTTATAATAATATTTGTATTTTAGTGATATTTGTTTCTACTAATTTTAACTTGCATGCATTATTTTTCCGTATTTAGAGGCGTATTTCGCCCTTTTTAAATATAAAACTACTTAATATTTATTATAAACTAATGTATCACACTTTTTGCTGTCAGAATTTTAATTTTCAATATTCAGATTAAAAAAAATCAAATTTCGATATTTTTTTCCGGCTAGAATTGCAATCTATCCCACTGTGCACTGGGTTTTAATGGCTTAAATGAAGTTAAAAGTAAAACAAATGGTACTTGAATAGACAAGTAGGAAAGAAACAATAGAATTAAAGCCAGAATTTCGCATACTTCGTACATGGATATGATTTTTTTTTTTTACAAAGTCGTATCAAAGTACGAAGACACTTTTCATTTAAAAAAACGTCTCCCGACTTACCCGCACAAATTGACGAGTATCTCTTCGCAACAAACAAAACTTCCCTAACCAACTGCCGTGCGTCACCGGACGCTCGTTCTAACGCCATGACCCAAACTTATCAGTTCTACTTGGGCATATAAATCGACCGGAAATGCTAACACAAACAATGGAGAATTTTCTTCCTTGATCATTGCGCCATTATCCACGTGTTTCAGAATGTTGATGCTAATGCAATAAATTACTTCGCCTGGACTTACGAAACGTCAAACGAAATGCGAGGCGAGAGATGTTTGTGCTGCTGCTGCTGTAAGAACCATAGGATGTTGACCAGGGGTGTACAATCTAAACGTTAACTGCACAATATTAGCGTCCTTTTTAACCCTTCAAAGCAGAAGCTGGCCTGAATAACATTTAAGAATTCAGTCCGTACCGCAAAGAAAACACAACACTTGATCATTATACAAAAATCAAATATAGCTAACGCTGTTTACATTGAGAATCATACGATTTTTTTTTTAGTGTTCTGTCTGACGACAGGTCCATATGAACAGGATCCTTCCATCCTTTTCTCGGACTGGGACCTAAATATTCCGGTTAGTTGGGACAAATCTTAGAGAATAAACCTTTTTAACTCTTTACGTGAAACTTCGCTTAATTGGGCCAAAGTGTTCTAGTCCCGATGTGTCTCAATTAACCGGAGTCCCACTATGTATGTATAATAGGAATATTTGCTCAAGGCGAGGAAGACAGACGTTTGTTTGTTTGTAGATCCACATCACGTGGGTTTGCGTAGCGACAAATGGTTCATAATTCTGCTTCAGGTTTTAAGTTGTGTGGTTCCCAGAAAGTCAGCCGAGGAGAGACTGTTATCCTCGACGTATTTTGAAACCTAACACGACCCCATTATTTGACTGAGACTTATTGCCTAGCAATAACAAAGCAACTTTGTCGTCTTGAGTACAGAAAATTGCACGCAATAATCCGAGCAAGGTTCTGTGCCTCTGAAAACGTTTTATCTGTTCATGAAAGCTAAAAGCATTGCGACCACATTCTGCATGCATGATTCCTTTCCTTCTTGTCCGTTTACTTCGTGTTTTACCAGCGTTTCATTTTCCTAATTTAATTCATTGAAACCCCAAGTTCATTAACTCCTTAGCTCCCACGAGGGTCACATGAGAACATATTTAAATCCCACGAGACACACGGCTGGGTCATAGGATTTGTTAGTTGAAGACTCAATCTTTATAGAGTAAAATAATGCATCACACCACAACTGGGATAGGAAAGATTAGGTCTGGGAGGGCCATTGAAGGAAGTCGATTACCAACTTTACCTCAGGCACTTCCAAATGTATATTACACCCGGTAAAAATCGCTTCGATCCAAAACGTTGAGTTGTATTGTTTTATCGACGTTCACAAAATAACTTCTTGGAAGTCATAACGCAAAAGTCACGGAAGGGTCAAAGACCAGTCTCACATTTAGACCTAATCAAATTAATTAAAGAACAAAGCTCCCATAGAGGAATATGAAAGTGTCTTTGTTTACCGTCCAGCATGTTGGCCTACTCTAAAAATAAACAAGGTCGGGAGAATGCGATACGATAAGTGTCGACTTTCAATAAGAAAGGCACATGTGAAAACACTGGGTTTGAAAAGGAGGGGGGGGGGTTATGGCAGTGGCGTAAGGCCTTATCTTTAGATTTATGTCCACGCAGACTCCTGAAAGCGAAACTATTTTATCTTATTGCATTTGGAAAGGCGTTGGATGTATCAAGAAATTTTGACAGATTTATCGTGGTTTGTATTATTGCTATGTAAATCTGGGAATGGTGTCTGAAATCGAGATTTAGGGTTCTCATGGCGGTCTGTAAAAACTGTTTCCGTGTCATATACCTCAGGGTCACGTTCTTCGATAATAGTAACTTCCCTACAGTCTTAAATTAACCGATGAAAGTTACGTAAAATCTGAAACGTGTGTACAGAACTGAAAATTATCTCACAAGGTGAAGATAACTTGTTGTGGGGTGTGGCAGTGTGTACTTTCGTAGAATTTGACCAACGTTTCAAAGGTGTATATTGGCTACCCTGTTTCATAACATTGAACTAGGTGATCAGTGATTTGAATCAATGGAAGACGTCAGTGTTTCTATGGCAACCGGAAACAAACTATTTTATACTTGCTAATACGTTTAAATGTTACTATCGAAGAAATAATATATAGGCATTTATTTAACAGTGTTTAAATGATTGTAGTCTGAAAGTCTGTTAAAAAATGGAATGAAAAGGGGGGAAAATGCCACTTAAGAAGATCCAAGGAATGACAAACAGTGGAACGGTGAAAGGTGTAAGTGAAATTTCATAGGATCAATACTGTAAGTTGTTCTCACATTTTCAAAGTTTCTCTGACCTCATTGACTACAATTTAATAAGCTGGTCTTTATTATCAAACCAAATCATAAAATGAAATTTGATTTTGTTACACCAATTCAAGATCCAATTTTACCTGAGGCCTATTCTGTAACACCCGACATGGTCTCTCTACACTGGGTTTATATTGTTTATTACGATATAACTTAAAATGTAAGTTTTGTACTGCCTTAAATTTCAATAGAGTGTCAGTAATGTCTGTAGTCAAGTCCTTATGCACCTCATTTGATGTGTCATTTAAGCTCTTGGTTTGTGTTTCATTAATTTCTGTGTTACGGTTTATAATTTTCTACTTTCCATATTTCTGTTCTTATTCTTCAGTTTCCAAACGCTGTTTCATGATTGACATTATTCATATTCAGGCTGAAGATAGAGGCAGTATTTTTCTCTAAAACACTGGCGTCTATCTACGAGTCTACACAGCGTCACAACCCAGAAGACGAACATTGTCATTCCTAAGACATTTCATTATATGTGGTACATATCATTTGTAAATCTAAAATAACACGGATTTTATTTAATTGAATAGGCTTATATTATTAGAATTTACAGAAACCACAAAATAGTATCTGTCTATGAGTCTACACAACGTCACAACCTAGAAAAGCAACATCATATTCAGTCACGAGAACCAACAATCTCACACGTCTATCGTAGATGCCAGCAAAGAAAAACAGTCGAATCTGATTTATGTGTGTGTTTTCACATTTGTTTTTTTAGAGCGCATTAAAAACAGTGAAAGGCAAAGGCGGCTCTGGGAAGACAGCATCTGATTTAGCAGAGAGCGCATTAAAAGCAGTGAAAGGCAAAGGTGGTTCTGGGAAGACAGCATCTGATTTAGCAGTAGCAGATGAATTGGACTCGTGGACAAAATCAAAGCAGCTGCTTAAACCTGAAGATCAATTAGAACTCAGTGATCAGGTATAACTGTGTTTCTGTTATTGAAAGGACCAAGGGTGGCAGCAATGAAGTGGATACGTTTGAAGCGTTGGTATCATTGTTATTACTGAATTTAAAATAACCAAAGAATTATGTTGTATCTAGTTTGAAACAAAGGAAATAAAAATTGTCGTAACAATTAAAAACACGTAGCTGGTGAGGAAATTGATGTTCTGGAAGAGGGGCATGGGTATCTGAACTATTTTGTGTCTATGTGTAAAGATAAAATAGAACAATTTTTTTTACATTATTATTTTAAGTGCTATTGTGTTATGGAATGGAATTTTGAATTATATACACGTAAGAAAATTATGTATAATGTTCAGTTAACTATCACCATTTACTAAAATAGACAACAGCTGAAATGTAATTTAAAAATATTTTTTTAAACGAGGAAAATTATTAAATATAAACAATATTTCAATCCCTTATACCATCAGATATTTTAATCTTTGAATAATCGTGAGCTTTAACCGTTGTTCATACATTTAGGTTAACCAATATTAATGAATAACATTTTAATGTGCAGGAGCTGAAGGAAGAAATTGAACGTGTGTTGACAGCACAAAACCCTCAGACTCCTTCTAATATTGTAGAATTCAGTTTTAAAGAAGGCTGTTTTATTCCTGCACTGCCAACTACACAAACAGTATTGCTCTTAGACATTGAAGGTAATGTTCTCCACAAAGACTCAGAGGAAGCAAAATTCCAGTTGGGTGGAAAATTTGAAAGTACGTATGCAAACAGAAACTTGTAATTACACTGTAATTATCTGTGATATTACATGACAACATTTAAGTTGATGTTATGCAGTAAAGTGTTAGTTGTTGTAGCGGCAATGTAGAACTGACACTTTGAAGATCATCTCATCCTCTTGTGAAATGTGGTAGAGAAATTATTCCATTGTCTCTCATTGTTTGTCTGTATTTTGGATTTTATGTTTGTTTATTTGTCGTGTAATGTCCTGTATGGAATTATATAATTGAAAGGAGGAATTCTGATTTGAATTCCTTCTTCTTTATCTTTTGTGTGTAATGTAGTCTGTGAAATCATTTCATAATGAGCCACGATGGGAATCCATATGAGGTTAAGTTTCTATTATTTTGGCTCAGTTTAAATGCAATGAAGCTATTATCTGATTATGATATAATTAAGAAGTCTGTGATGGACATATGTCAAGAAGAGTTCTTTTTCAGTTAGAGATGCAGATGAAGAAGAGAAACAGCAATCTGCAGAATTGAACGCAGAGATTTTAGAAGGAGATGATGATGTAGAAAGAGAAAATACTGAAAAAGAGCATGATGAGGAAGAAAAACCAATTGCTAAGGATGAAAAAGAGAAACAAATAGAAGAAGAAGAAGGAGAAGGTGAGGAGGAAGCAGAAGATGAAGCAGCAGTGCCAATAAAGAAAACTCCTGAAGTGTCTGCTTATTTTATGAAAGTAGGCTCTAAGAAGCTCACAAACCAGTTCAATTTCTGTGAGCGAGGAGCTCTTACATATAATAATCCTTTCAGGGTAAGTTACATTGAAAGTTATGAATAGGCCAGTTGCATACCAGTTCTTTCCACAGATAGAATGAGTTTTAATGTATATTACCTGTAGATGGCTGAAAGTAGCTGAAATATGTTTAACGATAATACATACTGGATAGACATGTTTGTAAGTCAGTTCTGGTTTTGACAATTACAAATCTGTTCCTTCACAAATACTGATTGTGGTATTTTGGTTTGTGATGCCATATTGTCTTGTAGGCAGCTGAAGTCAACTTCATCCCCGAAGGTAGAGGTAGTACATTTTTCCTCCAAGCAGTTGATAATCACCCCCACTTAATGGTACCTGCGCCTTGTCGTGGTGGTGGGGCTTGAGTACCTCAGTGACCCCAAGAGCTACTGGTAGGGCCTCCCTAGCCAGATTGGTCGAAGGGGAGAGGTCAGACTAAGACAGGTACCCTGGTCCTCCAGGTTGGGGGTTGGTCGCAAGGCTAACAACCTTGCACCATAAAAAGGAAGACATTTCGAAACCTCGGTCAAAGCCTCGGACAGACGGACCTAACAGGACCGAATGGAAGAGGAGAATTGAGGAGGCCATGGACCGAATACGGACCGGAGAGCCATAGAAGAAGAAGTTGGTAATCACTTATAAGACAACATGGTGCATGGTGTTACAACCCAGAAGACCACAAAATTTTTACTGCCATGAGAACATAAAATCTCAGACATTCTTTCAAAGCCATTTACACTACATAAAGTTAGAAATTATTCTTGCTTGTATTTTGTTGAACATTAATCAAACTTAAAAATGTTTTAAATGGATGAATGCAATGAAATGTGAAAAAGAAAAATTGTCCCACTATTTGCCATAGGGGCACTCAGGAAGAAAAGATGCATAGCTTCTATTTATTCTTGACCTCAGCTTTTAACTGCAACAAATGAACATCATTGCCAATGAAGTATGCTAATTCTCAGCAATTGCAAAATGAACTGTACCTTTCCACTCTTGGTTTAAACTACACGAGATTAATCAATTTTCAGAATCTTGAAACGCAGACCATACCTCCTCCACGAGCTAATTTCTCAGGACAAGTCACGCAGTGGATAATTTATGATGCGTACCAGCAAGATTTTGAAGCGCAACTGCGGGAGAAAGAAAAAGAAAGGAAAGACAAAATTGTTCCTACTCAGAAAACTGAGGTCAAGAGAAAGGGTCTTCAAACAACATCAGACACCACCAAACGGACTCTACTGGCAATTAAAATACTTGAAAGAATGATAAATCAAAACACATACGATGAAATTGCACAAGGTATATAAAGTCAAATATCTAGCTTGGATTACATAGATCATCGTCACTGTCACTGTATCTCAGCAGATCCATATGTTTTGATGCCCCATCAGTTTGATTTACTTTATGTGAAATCCAACGCTGGCCTTGTAATCCTGGGGTCCCAGGTTCGATTCCCGGCGGTGCCCGAATTTATAACTTGTTGGGCAAGGCCGTGGTCTAGGCAACATGGAGTTTTCCTCTGGGGCTTCCCCAATTTCTCCATACACACTGAAGAAGGCAATGGCAAACCACTTCTGTATCACCTGCTTAAAAAACATATATGAACAGGTCCCAGTCCGAGAAAAGGATGGAAGGATCCTGTTCGTAATATGTCGCCAACCTCCTGTAAAGGAGACAGCGTAATAAGGAAGAAGAAGAATGTGAAATCCAAAACTGTCAGGTTCAGTTTGACATTTGATCACAAAACTTGATTTTTGGGACTGTCGTACCGAGTCTAGTGAAGGACGTGAAAGAGTTAAACCTCATTCATGCCAGTCCAAGTATAGTTTGGCTCCAAAAATTTCAAGCCAACAGCACCGTTTCTTCACGCTCTTGTGCTGAAGTGACTTACATGAATATTTTTCTGGTTGAATGTGTAATCCGTCGACTGAAATTTTAGCTCAAGAATCAGGTTTGATTTACTCTGGCCCCCTGCCTCATACCACGTGTGCGAGGGACATTTTAAAACAAAACTCCCCTAAATCAACAAGGTATTTTTATGGGATTTTGAGGCCTTCTTTGGCAACTTTGCTTCCCTTAGTTAACCATCTTCTTTACTTGTATAAATTCAGGAGATATTAATGAATAAACAGATTACAGATACTGGGAAGATCCGTCAGACGAGTACCGAGACGAGGAAGGAACGTTGCTACCTCTCTGGAAGTTTGTGTATGAGAAGACAAAGAAGAATAATGTGACAGCTCTGGGTTGGAATCCTAGCTACTATGATCTCTTTGCAGTAGCTTTTGGATGCTGTAAGTCGTGTACCATAGCAGTTAGTTGGTGTGAATAACTTACAGTACGTCTTCAACATCACATATTAATATCGGTCAATAATTTATAGTTGACTTCATGAAGCCTCAACCTGAGGGAGCAGTTTGCCTATTTACACTGAAGAATCCTTCGTTTCCGGATTACATCTGCACCACTGAAACCGGAGTGATGTGCGTTGATATTCATCCTGTACATCCTTATCTTGTGTGCACTGGGAAATACGATGGCAATGTTGCTGTTTACGACGTCCACTCACCTGAAAAGATGCCACAGTATGAAAGCAACTCAGTGGCCAATAAACACTGTGGTGTTGTATGGCAGGTAATACAAAAATAGGAACCCATTATAATATTAATCTTCATGGACCAAAGAATTTTTATTTTAATTTGTAATTAAACAAACTGAAGATGACTGTTTTCTGGGATGTTGTGCTGTATAGTATGGTAGAAGTTTACCAGAAAACATACTACCTGCAAAAATCAATTCAGTATTCTTCTGGGTCTTGATGCCATTTAGCGATACTGAAGAGAATAACGTAATGTTTCAAATTTGCCCATCCTTTTTATAGTTAATTTAATAAAGAAAATTTCTTATTCAGGTTCGATGGGGAATTGATATGCCTGATGGTGAGGCGAACTTCTTCTCTGTGTCTGCAGATGGTAAAGTGTACAACTGGGTGCTTATGCAACATGAGCTTTCGCAGACATTAATTATTTCATTATTTCTGTCCTGCGATCCCATACCTGGGCCCAGTGGAGCACTGATTCCACTGACAGGTTTGTTATGCGGGTCATCGCTTTGCAGCGTTTTATAATTATGGCTTTTCGGGTGTTTAGTAGAGTACAGATTTAATATAGTGAAATCATGTTCAGTTCATTAGAATTTCTTTTCATGAAAAATGTTGTTGCATATAAAGAGTGAAATAGGGGAATTCTTAAGACAATTAGATAAAACTTAACCTTTCATTTGGTGCATTTATTAACTTCCATTTTATTTCTTCTATAACTCGGTAATTTGTAATTTGTAATATTATTTTTACTTTCTGTGTGGGCATGAAACAGTCTCTGACATTAGGGGAAAAGTGGATGTTGGTGTTTTAATTTCCTCTCTGTTAACATGTCAGTTTTTCATATTTTATTGACTAGATTATGAATGGTTTTTCTGTTGGGAACTTGAACCCTAGGAAATTTTTGTCTGAATTTCCCCTGACTTCCTAGCAGAGGTACACTTCACTTAAGGGTGTTATAGAAACATCCAGCGATCTGCGTAAACTTATCCGTGTCATACCCAATGGAAATTTTGAACAACACTGAGGAAATATAATATCACTTACTTATATCACCACTGCCGACTCCCTGTAACCGACTCGGTGATCATGCACACTGAAAAGGCTGTGCCCCCCATGTAGTCATCAAACATCATCTCTCTACATCAGTGGTCCTCAACCTTTTTGTGCCTACGGGCACATTTGAGAGTTCATTATGAGATCGTGGCAGGCAACAACCAATTAACAAAGCCAAATTTTCTTTTCTCTGGACAAATAAGATATGGACACCAAATAATACACAAAACAACATGACATTTAATGATACGAGAAATCACGCAATCAAAAATACGTAGTTTTATAAGTACAGTTATTATTATTCAAGTGGGAAGTTAGCGCGATGTTTGGCGCTGCATTTCATCGGCCAGTTTTTCAAATTTGGGAGTGTAGGATGATGTTGCTGCTCGCAAACAATCGTCAAGATGGGCGTCAGTAAGTCAAGATCTGCGCTTTGATTTAATAATGTTCATGGTTGAACGACCTTCATTATTCAGTATAACCTTTTTCCATAACAACGCCGGCCTTGTCGGGGGTCGCATTGGGGACCACTGCTCTACAGTACCTTGGTTTGTATTACAGGATGTGGAACAACCATTGCATTCCATCCCACTGAACAGCTTATCTTTGTGGTTGGCACAGAGGAAGGTAACATTTACAAATGCAGTACAGCGTATGCCTCCATTTACCTGGCTACATACGAAGCACATCACATGCCAGTTTATAAAGTGGATTATAATAAGTTCTATCCTGATATATTCATTTCATGCAGTGCAGATTGGACAGTAAAGATATGGGAAGACAAACGCAGGTGAGGCGTTAAAATATTTCTGGTTTTAGGTAAATAATTGATACAGTAAAGCTGTACCATATGAACATTTTATATTGTAGAAAATTTTCATTGGGTAAAACTATGCATTCAGTGTATTACAGGAGGTTGGCAACATATTATGAACAGGATCCTTCCATCCTTTTCTCGGACTGGGACCTGTTCATATGTTTTTTAGGCAGGTGATACAGAAGTGGTTTGCATTACCTTCTTCTGTGTGAGTAATTGTTGGGATGCCACGGAGAAACCAGGGAAGCCCCGGAGGAAAATTCCGTGTTGCCTATACCATGGCTTTGCCCGACACAAGTTATAAATTCGGGCACCGCCGAGAATCGAACCTGGGACCCAGCGTTCTAACCGCTAGACCACCATGGCGGTGACATGAATCTAAATGAGCCAAAATATGTGGCTTTTCAAATATGTTTCTACACACTAAACAATTGTTCATGAAGTGTGGTAATATCAAGATTTCCTCAGCAGTTTTCATAGTTATTAATATTTTACAAATGTCGCGCTGAACACTGTTCGTTGTCCACATAACATCCCTATAATGAGTCAAGTTGTCACTACTGCTTCTTCTAGTGAGGTGAAATTATATAGCTGCGGAAACTACAAGGGTGAATATCACCAGGCAAATTTTTCTTTTACTCCATACATTTTGTTTGACATCCATTTACTTTTTTTTTTTTTTTGCTTTTTCCAGTGATCCACTTTTTGTGTTTGACTTGGGATGTGCAGTAGGAGATGTCGAATGGGCCCCATATTCTAGTACTGTGTTTGCTGCTGTAACAAGCGATGGAAAAGTTCATGTCTTTGACCTGAACGTAAACAAGTACAGGCCTATATGTGTGCAGGCTGTAGTGAACAAGAAGCGGAATAAACCGACACGCATAGCGTTTAATCATAAACTTCCAGTCATAATTGTTGGCGATGAGAGGTAAGTTTTGTAGATGACACGAGTCTGTACTTCATGTTTTGCCATCTGGTGACCTGTGGACTATTGCTGGCATACAGCTTAATTTAGAGTTCTACAAAGTCTATTTACCATCATATATACTTTAACAGCAGCTAGAAAAAATGACTGTCTTAACATGTTTCGATATTATTTATTTAATTTTAATAACTCAATAATTTGTATTGAATATTATTACAGAAGTCTGTGTGAGCTAATTACGATTCCTGTCCAAGTGATATATTTCTGATATTTGTAGATTATAACCCCCATTTTGGATCATCCGAACTGCAGTCCGACTTTAGAACTCCTCCTATTATTCATTAATGTGATTCTTTTGATTAACAGAGGTTGCATTACTGCTCTCAAATTATCGCCAAATCTACGTAAGAAAGTGAAACCCCCGAAGAAAGGGCCAGTTCACACCGAGAAAGAATTGGAGCTAATGAAATTAGAGAAACTTCTGGCACTGGTACGAGAACCACAGGCTTTGACACCACTGCCAGATCCACCTGCTCCTGTAGATTCATAATAAATTAATCAGTATTTAATGAAAACTCAAATTTGAAATTGAAGTAGTACGAAATCATTTGGGATCTGTTATACAGAATACCCTCCACTCCCCGCCAAACGACCCACATGGCGTGTAGCGGGACGGCTTTGCTTTACTTTATGGAGTCCAGAAGAATACTTCCTGAGGAACTGCCTTGTGGGTACTCTTAAGGTTTGTTACCACATTCACAAGTCTGCCAGAGGCCCCGTGTAACTTTATGTTACAAGGTACATTTTTTGTGGTAACGGATCGTTTACCATCATCCATTCCCAAAGTCGGAGGACCAGTCTTTGCTGGCCGTCAGTATATTCACATCTGCAGTCCATATTTGAAGGCTGTCCTCTCCATACATAACCTAACCTGAGGACACGTCATGTAGTGGTGACATGACACCCATTTAACATGTATTCCCAATAAATATATCTAAATAAGGGTACTGAATAAAATACTAGTGTAAAATACTTTGACTTTATTCTAAAACATAAACTATATAATTATAATATTTGGCACCAATATTTGATACAATTAAAGTCAATGAAACTAGATGTTTTTTCTTAATTCTAGAACTATTATTAAGTGTCAAGTTCTATCATTCATGTTGAGCCACCATTTTACTGTTCATCACATGTTACTAGGTATTTACGTTTGTTTAAAATGGACATTAACTCAAGTTTTTCAAAATGTGCCATCCTTGAGCTTATTTACATTACTACCCAAATACATTTAACGATTAAAAACATTTACCAATTTCACTTGAAAAATGTTTAAATGTATTATAAACTCTTTAGGATGTACAAAAACACACGAATTTGAATAATATGTATAAGTTGTTATGAAGAAATCATAGCATATTCTGGGTGTCAAGAGCATTCACAGAAAGGGTGAAATGACAAAATGAGTTTTTTTTTTACATTATCCCATAAATGTGATATTAGAAAAGAAATTTTGGCATAATTTATAAACAAGTGAAATGTTTATCATGTGGAAATAGGGATTTAAACCTCTGTACTATGGGCTGCTGGCCAGACGTTAACTCTGGAGTTAACGATTTAGCAGTCTGCTAAAGGTTAGAATAGAATAAGGTCTTTTTAAAAGTACTGCTATTAATAAACTTGATTCTTTCTATAATCAGTATGAAAAATCCACGTAACTTTTATGGCAGTTCTCGAATGAGTGATATTTTTTCTACTTCCAGAGCTCTTGGCGCTAAGTAAATGCACACCCAGAAAATGTTATTTGTATGCCAGCAGACAAATTGTACCGATTCATTTCTAAATCCTAATAGCCATCGCAAATGATACAGTGTATGTACTGGCTGTAAAAATGTAATTATCATATGCTAGACAGTAATAATAAAATCATGATGGCAATGCAAATCATGCTTTTGATTTTTACAAAACAAGATAAATAAGATTAATCCTACAATATAATCAAAGTGTGTCACTGGCAAGCTGTAAAATAAAAATAGCACAGTTTCTATTACCGAAATGAATCTTACTTTATAATATTTTCAACTACACCTTAGCAAGGATATTAACATGCTTCCACAAAATTAATTTATTTGTGCTCCATAAACACGTATACAAAATACACGTTCTTAAATGAATGTCGAGTGTTCCAATAAGTGTAACAAGCAACAGGTACTTTCTAATAGGAATTATAACAACCATCACACTGTGACTCGTTATGTAAACAGTAGTACACATGGATTAAATATACATTATATACTTAAAAATAAGCAAATGATGCAAGAGGTAAAGTACATTCTTAACAATGTCACTAGATAGGAGTGACCAGGTTAATGCTTCATAGCTACTGCGTCAGACAATACAAGAAAGCCCTTCACAGAAGAAAAATGCTCATAAAATTTGTTCAACAAAAAAATTAAGTAGAATGTGGTCCATCATTTTAACAGATACTGCTTCTGACATCTTCATTCAACCTGAAGACTGCACTGTTTGCTGAAATGATGATAAACCTTTGACACTCGATGCAACTAAACCCTGAAGCTATTTATTAGACTCAAGCCATGGAAACTTAGGGGGAAAGTCCTGAAGTTGCTACATTGAGCAACAATACAGATGACCGTAATATAAGCTCACACTGCTATGAAAACCTAAATACTACTAAAATCTTGTCACTTCACTTCTATTAGCTACTGAAATAGGTTCCAAGTGATAATTCTTTTTAAGAATGTTATCAAAAACTTTAGTTTTAAGTCTGTGCTGTATCATACTTACTGTATGAAACCTAATGATAATATTAATTTACCAGGTTGTTAAAATTGTCAGACATAACCTCAAAATACTGACATGTTTTGTACAAAAAAAATTCACTGTATATTCTGTACATGGACTTTCCAGTGTAAGTCAGGAATGGTGTGTCTACAAGCCGCCACACTGTCATGGAAGTGAGGGCAGCACAGTACAGTTGTTTCAGTTAGACATGGGAAATGGATGGGATATGCAAAGATTACAAGAACACCTCACAACTGGCAAGAAATACATATTTTTGCCAGAAGATATGAGAAAAAGTATCCTGCAGGTTATTTGAGTTTAATAACATTGGAATAACATAATATTTTGTAATATTTCTTTATGTAAGAAACACATGCTCAAGTGTGTATACGGCGATTGAGACACACTCATCTAGTACATATTCTGTGGTATCCAAGAATTTACTGTTTAATATTGTGATAACAAGGTTAAAAGGACTACACTGTTTTTAACATGTACTGTAGACAGATTTGGCACATCATTTGGAAGAATTATGCCACATATGTTCAATATACTCAGTAATTATTATACAATAGATGGTAATAATTTTATATAAGAAACAAAATAGATATTAAAATCAGACAAAAGTATGTAACAGAATAATAAATTTTAAATTTAAAACCTACAGAAATATTTGTTTTGTTTTATATTCCGCAGAAATATTATGGACATGCACTAATTTGAAAGATATTGTACAAACCTCAAGGACAAAAAGTTTGAAGTTTCTTCCCAGGTACATAAAAAAGTCCTGTGAGTTATGCAGTCTGTGTGGCAAAGACAAAAATATGTTCTGCAAAACTCTCGTAACTTCTGAGTCTCATGAAAAGGAATATGTAAATTGCAGACTAAGAAGTAACTTATACTGAAGTTAAATAAGAGCATGTATGTATCATATTCATTTTTGTAGGAACATTTTCATTTTAAATCGTTTTCACAAAAGAATCAGCATTAGAACTTCATTTGTTCAGGCTGTAAGCTCCTCTGAAACATCAATCAATATCTACCAGACTGTCAGGTGCTACAACCTTTCTTGCCATGGGAACCTAAGCTCTCACCGACATAAAGCGAGTTACTCGATGTATTTCAAGAAAAAAATCTTGCATCCAAGAAAAGTTAATAAATCTGCCTTATGAACTGGCTATAATGCTGAAGTATCACAAATTTATATTTGACCTTGCATAACGGTATCATCACAATAAAACAAACTAGCCTCACACAGCTCAATAACTGAAATTTTCTCCAGCCTTGTTCATGAAACAAAGACTTTTATAGCGTTATCTTGACATTCATACTTTTGTGTCTGCCATATTTAATAACAAAACAAAATATACTTCTCTGTGTGAAACACATTTGAACTAGAGAGAACTTGTTTTTAAACTGATACATGTCTTACAGTGTTGCTGATCAGTTTATTGTTTGGATAACCACATCTTCCCCCACAGAAAACTTAATTTTTTTTGGATCTGGATATTGAGGATATTCAATAACTCCTTTTCCAAATTTAAATTCAAGAAAATCCCGTATGTTATTTGGCGCAGGTACTTTTTGTCCTATGAAGTCAATGCTTGCTATTGGATGTAGGAAATGATCAGGGAATTCTCTGTCTTGCTTATGGGTGGGAAACCAGGTGTCCTTTGTCATTGTATTGTTGCGCTGGTAAAATGGAAATATATCTACGTGCAAGTGATTGACACGACTAAACTGAACACGGAAGAAATCACCTTCTGAAGCTTTCTCCCAAACAAAACCGTCATTATCAACAACAGATTGAGTGTGGGCACGTACCAACCATGGACAGCGACCTATATCTTCACGAAACATACCAATGTCTACATCATAGTCCCATGGTAGAATATCTGCAGCCCGCATGGCACCAAGAAGACTGCCACCTTCCAGCCAGTAACGTACGCCAGCCTCGTCCAGACGGGCAAATACGTGCCGAGCAGTTTGGCGTAATCCGGCCAAGCAACAGGGAGGTGTCCACCTCCCTTCCCACAGATACTGAGGCATGTCATCCACGACGGTGCCAAAACAGCGAGGCAAATCCCTGTTGCAACCATACCACTCGACAGTTCCTGTTTCCCTTACCACTTTCTTCAGTCCCATGTTTTGAAACATTTGTTGCTGTTGAGCATGTTCAAGTTGTTGAACCTTCCATTGTGCATGATGGCTTTTGAACAATGAACTGCCATCAGTAAACAAAGTATTCTGCAGTAACTGCACTTTAATACCTGTTGCTGCTGTTTGGATATATAATGCATCTGGAAAAGGATGCATTAATGCTTCTGGCAGTTTCTTTAGAGTAACACTTTCTATTAAAATAGCATGCTTTCCTCTCACAGCATCACATAAATCACCATCTGCTATGTCATACTGTATGATCCATTCCCTAATATTCATATGTATATTCAAACAATTAACCGTCTTTGTGCCTGAGAACGGAGCTGCTATGATGTTATTGGAGTGTTTCTTCAATTCAAAAATCATGCTATGCAAGGAATGTTCAGACAGAATTCTAGTTGAATCAGGAATAAACAAAACATACTCTGTACTAACATAGTATAATGGATTCCTTTCTTCATTAGAATGTCCAAGTTGAAACTGTAGATTTATAACTTTAACATTTTTTATATTGTTCAATATTCCTAGTGGAGGATAAGGCAGACCATCACTCACTATTAAGATGGTTATATTTGGCAATATAGACAATACAGATCCTACAGTCTTTGTTATATCATTCTCAAAGGACTCAAACTTTCTAATTATTATTGTTAAAGAATTTTCTACGTAATTCACAGTCTGTGGAGAGGGTGTACTAATCCATGGTTTATTTAGTTGTATGACTTGAACATCATTTCTAGAAAATAAGCTCCAAATGCAATATAAAACAAATACATTGAGCACAACCACAATAAATGTGATTAACTTTGCAATTCGAAATCGCATAGTAATTCACTTGTCAACGATGTCAACAGCAACTGCAGTCATTTGATATTAGTTTGAAAGTAGTAGTCATATGTCCTCATTTGTTCCGCCCTTTTATAGGAAAGAGGATTGAAACGTAGAAACTTGATGATGCAGCAACAGCATTTATATTCCCCCTGTAATCCATCATACAATCTTCCCATGAAGAAACAACCTAAAATATTCAACTGAATCCAGTTTTCAAAACAATTACTTAGTAAAACACGAATTAAACGGAGAAGACCGCCTACATATCATCGTCTGCAAATCCCTCCTTCGCTCCACTGAAAATAACAATTGTCACAGAGAGAAAGAGTAGGATTTCATGAACGTAGTTCCTTCACGGATTACCGTCAACGTACTACATTTTGTGAATTTCAATTTTTCGTCATTGGCAACGCCTGGATTGTACCGGTCATCATTTTCTTATAACCAATCGAAACAAAGCGCGCCTTGTATATGGTTGTATGTATAATGGAATCTAGGGTGAAATGTATTGTATTACGATGAAAAATTGAATTGGTTGTGCTGTGCCCGAAAGAATGTTTCTTTGAATTGAATATTTGCATTGTACTACACATGGATGAAAAATACCTGTCACAACCATTCTACTGCAGTAAGTATAGTGACAGTGTACTTTTCTTCGTAGCTGTCTAGTTGTAGTGGGTGGATACACGACCCGATTATTTGAATCGTGTTTCCAAATAAATAATTAAGTAGAAAAGGTTGTTGCTGTTTTAAATATTCAAGGAATTTAAAAAGGCCCTATTGAGGGCATCATTATGTTCATCAGCATACTCCAAAGAGTACACCTTTTCAAACATTATAAAATCCTCCTTTGAGAACCTTAATTGCACCATACCAATATCAGGTACTTAACTTATTTTTCTTCCAGATGTCAATGAAGCACATCACACAGCAGAAGAAATGGATGATACTCGCCAAAGGTACATGGCGTATGAATATCTATGCCACTTGGAGGAGGCAAAGAAGTAAGAAGATGTTTATTACTAAATTAGTTTGGGAGAACTGAAATACTAATAGTAACTTAACCATTATTGATTTTGCATCACTTCTGATGTGTAATCCATCTTTACATATGTCACACTAACCTACTGCTAAATTGTTGGCAACCTCTTAATATGGGGGTTTAAATCACCTTTTCTCATATGATAAAAGTTAACTTTTTATGTTTGTTGTAACAGGTGGATGGAAATTGTGTTGAAAGAAGAACTCCCACCTACAATAGAACTGGAAGAAAACTTGCGGAATGGTGTATATTTGGCTAAACTTGGAAATGTTATAGCTCCTGAGACAGTGCCACTGACGAGGATTTATGACATTGATCAGAGGCTATTCAAAATAGCTGGGTTGCAGTTTCGCCACACTGACAACATAAACTATTGGCTTAAGTCATTAGAAACAGCCTCCTTGCCAGTAGTAAGTGCAGAGTTGGTTTTGTTATTGTAGTTTGCTCTGTGACTGGGTTGGTAAATGTTTGGTAGAAATTTAAGCATTCTGTATATACAAAGTGTGTTTGGTAAGTTCTTGTAAATTCCAAGACTGTTGCGCTAGTCTAAAAGAAGGAGTAACAGAGAAACCCTCCATACTAGTCTAAAAGAAGAAGGAGTAACAGAGAAACCCTCCATTTCTCTGTATAATTACCAGAGTGGCTGAGGCATTTGTCTCTGTGGTATGCCACTGGTTTGTTGATTCCCATGTTCCCACCATTTGTTGTTTCTTGGCTCTACAACCCGGTTGTGGGTTTTCCTGCACCCTTTTTAGGTGGTTTCTTGGTCTTGAAGTGTGCATTTATGGTAGTAGTGAGTGACCAGCCCACTGAGTCTGCACAATTTATACTCAATCCTGATTTGACTGCCACCGCTGAAGTTTGCTTACGAAATTTCTCGTATCATGCTCGTAAGGGTCTTTTACATGCCGTAAATCTACAGCATGGGACCGCCAGCTTTACTTCCCCTCCAAAAGAAGTTGTGCTACAAATTTTATCTCCCTTAAAAATCCATCTACCTCAGCCGAGATTTAAACCGCGAACCTTGGGTCCAAAGGCGAGCATGTTAACTACTACTCCACCGAGGCTGACTCCCACCATTTGTACCTTGTGGATCAACTTTTCCTTCAGAGTCCTTCTTCAGTAGTCGGTTGAGGTGTAACATTACTGTAGAGTTATGACCTTCCAGAAGTTTCATCATCACTAGAACATACAAAACCAACTCACAATAAAATAAGTGTTTCAGTCTTCATGAGAACCATTTAGAAAAATAGATTACTTGTTGTGCGATGTGTTTTAATATTCATATCAAACATACTTCTTGTAATTCACTTTTCAGACTTTCCATCCTGAAACAACAGATGTTTATGATAAAAAGAATATGCCTCGGGTGATTTACTGTCTTCATGCATTAAGTACACATCTCTTCAAATTGGGCAAAGCTCCCCTTATACAAGACTTGTATGGAAAGGTTAATTTTACAGGTATTGTTTATTAAACATATATCAATAATATATTAATTTACTTTTGTTTGGTGTCCTTCTACATGAAATAAAGAATCACAGCTGTAAAATATCTGTCACAACCTCCGAACTTCACTTATGTTGTCATTTGGCAAGGGGGTGAAGGAAGAAAATTATTGATTCTACATTTTTCGTCGTATTAAGAATTGAGTACAGACGTTTGCTGTCTTGATCAGGCGAGACTGCCAATTTTCCAAGAAGGACTCAGTTGAGGTTCTCACAGCAATGAAGATGTTGATATTGGTCTCCTGGGTTGTAACGCTGTGTGTACTTGTGGATACTAATGTAATAAGGGAATGAACTGCCTTGATCCTCAGACCACACTTGCTTTCTTCGATGTGGTTTCCAAAATGTCATTCACAAATCATCCTACCATTAATCTATAATTTATTCTGTAGTGATTTTTGTAGGGTATTTGCTGAATTTTCTCTGTATTTCAGATGAAGAAATTGATGCTGTGAGGCTGGAATTAAAAAAGTATGGAATCAAAATGCCAGCATTTCAGAAGATCGATGGTATCCTAGCTAATGATTTGGAACCTGACTCTGCAGTACTTCATGCAGCCATTATAGCAATCAATGAAGCAATTGACAGAAAGGTGCCAAGTGTAGTTTTATGAATTCTATTTTGTCAAATAAAACTGACAAATATGGCATGCCTCGAAGCTAGTGTGTATTTTGATGTAAGAACATTTTCGGTTCAAGTTTTATTCACTTTGGTTCAATTTTTAGTTGACGGATATTATGCTTTTACGAATCGAACTTGCAAAGCCATGACGCCCGCCAAGGCTCTTTTTGGGTGCCCGCATTGTTACAGAAAGAGGTTGTACTGAGTAATGAAGGCCGTTCAACCATGAACATTATAAAATCAAAGCGCAGATCTCGACTTACTGACGCCCATCTTGACAATTGTTTGCGAGCAGCAACATCATCCTACACTCCCAAATTTGAAAAACTGGTCGATGAAATGCAGTGCCAAACATCACACTAACTTCCCACTTGAGTAATAATAATTGTACTTATAAAACTACGTATTTTTGATTGTGTGGTTTCTCGTATCATTAAACGTCGTGTTGTTTTGCGTATTATTTGGTGTCCATATCTTATTTGCCCAGAGAAAAGAAAATTTGGCTTTGTTAATTGGTTGGTGCCTGCCACAATCTCATAAACTCTCAAATGTGCCCATAGGCACAAAAAAGGTTGGGGACCACTGTTGTAGGTGGTCAAAAACATTTCATAGGAACATGATATTTTCATTGTTACACACCTCATTGACCTGGCACTGTACTGTTGCAACTGGCCTTGGATCACGTTGCAAGAATGACTTGTATACAATGTTTTCTGATGGCGAAGCTGAGAAATCAGTGTTTTATCATGTAATTGCAGACACTGACAGTCTCTGTATTATGCACAGGATTCTTCTGGTATGTTGGAGTCACTTAGTAATCCAGCTGCAAGTTTGCGAGACGTATTTCCAGCTTATGCTGCGTTCTATCAGGAGAATCTGAGAGACGCCAAACTTAAGAAAGTAGAAGATGCCTTTAACAGGGTATGTTTATGCTGATGTTGAACTTGCCACCTCTGTCCTCGGTATGTCATGGTGTTGGTGAAGTTCTGATTTCATAACATTGAATATCTCATGAGATATAATTACTGATTACTTGAGACACGTCTCTATGCCAGAAAATTATATATTATCAACTGGGTTTTTAAATGTCACTTTAATTGGATTTAAATTTTTTGTAATTTTATTTATCTGGTTTGTAATTATATACTACAGATTTTCTTTCTGTTTATACTAATGCTAATTGATACTAATATTTTAGCAAGAACTGAGAGACAATGCCGATATTTAAGTGAAAACATTGTTAGACATCAGTCTATTTGAATGTTTCAAGGTCAGGATCATTTTTATTTGCAGTCACTGAAGAATAGTTATGTGGAGGATGTATATGATCAACTTCTGACACAGGAAGAGATCCAGGATCACTTATCCAGTGTTAATGGTGAGAACACAAACTAGTAATATTTTAAAGCTTTATAAAAGTCCCAAGGAGAACCTTGGAATGTGTCTTGAGCTAAATGAATTCAGTCCACATAATACCTTATTTCTGTAACGCACAAAATATTACCTTTTTTGTCTATGCTTTGGTTTTTGATGAGTTTCTTCTTTTCAGATTAAGTAAAGGTATGCAGCTTTATTGATGCAAGTAATATAAATTGTAATTAAGTTATGATAATATTATCTTGTGCAATATTCCTTAGAATGTGTGTCTGTTGCTGTCGTGAACTCTGCATTGGACGGCGGGACATGGCAAGAATTATACAGAGCACTGTGCAATCCAATATTGAAATTACCTGTAAATATCACAGAGTTCGCAGCTCCTCTTTATTATGAAGAAATGAGGGCTGATAAATTGGAATGTGGGGTTAGTACTGGATTTGCGTTTCACTACCTTACATTTTAGTTTACTTACCATTGTTAAGGAATAAAAGTAGATGCATGAGATCTGTGTGTGCACGCGTGTGTGCATACGTGTGTGTGTTTCTCTATGTCCCACTTTGAACTCTTCAACTTACTGACCGGTTTTAATGAATGTTTCTAAACAAAATAGTTACCATCACAATGAAGTCACAAACTTTGATTGTTAATAAAAATTAACAAATTTGGCTCACTTCGAAAGTAAGAATCAGCTTCTAAGCAAAAACATAACATTATTTTGAATGTTTAAGATTTGATTGTACCTGTAAGAGTTTTTATATATTTGGAATAATTTTTAATAATTTTTTTGTTTGCTGTTGTTATAACATTCATCGCTGTTTGCCTGATATGTCCACAAGCTTTTAGAAACAGTGTATCAGAATGCCAGAGTGTTTTAATGAAGGTCAATTCACAGAATCAAACACAACAACCAGGCAACCATCCAACAACCAGTGTACTTTCCATGTATAAATGTAGATGCAACCTTTGTTTTACAGTGATCTTATAGCAATGTACTGAAACTTAAGTGTCCACATTTCTAGGTAAGCCTGTCACATCAAGAAATCCTGTCAAGTGTACAAGTTCTGTACTACATAGCTGCAGTAACACAAGCTGTAGACGCAAATAATGTTGAAGACACGTGGAAAGCTGTGTCTGATCCCAATGCTCATTTTACAGTAAGTAAATCTTCCCATGTTTGCTGTCATTGAAGGGTAAAACTTCTTAACTTCTGCATAAATAGATTTTAAAACCTATTCTTAATCTTGTTTTACTTTTGGAACTACTTACTGTCATTACATTCACCCTAAGACTCTTCTTCTTCTATGTCTCTCCGGTCTGTATTCGGTCCATGGCCTCCTCAATTCTCTTCCATTCGGTCCTCCGTTACGTCCGTCTGTCTGAGGCTTTGATCGAGGTTTTGAAACATCTTCCTTTTTACGGTGCAAGGTTGTTAGCCTTGCGACCAACCCCCAACCTGGAGGACCAGGGTACCTGTCTTAGTCTGATCTCTCCCCCTTGACGAATCTGACTAGGGAGGCCCTACCAGTAGCTATGCTACCGCCAGCATAGCTCTTGGGGGCACTGAGGGACTCAAGCCCCACCACCACGAGCCCTAAGACTCAGAATCTGCAATATTATCTACGTACTAAATGTTTATATCTGAAAGAAGCTGTGACTATCACTTGACAACATAGCACGGTGCAAGGTTTGGTAGCGTGCATTTCCTGAAGCTTCATGTTTCATACAGGTCATGTCAATAAATCCAACTCTTTATATACTCCATCTCTTTATATATTACTTTGTAATAAGTTTTAAGGTGCTCAAGCCCCACCACCACGACAAGATGCAGGTACCAGATTGGTCAAGGGGGAGAGGTCAGACTAAGACAGGTACCTTGGTCCTCCAGGTTGAGGGTTGGTCACAAGGCTAACAACCTTGCACCGTAAAAAGAAATAAAGGAAGATGTTTCGAAACCTCAATCAAAGCCTTGGACAGACGGACCTAACAGAGGACTGAATGGAAGAGGAGAACTGGTGAGGCCATGGACTGAATACGGACCGGAGAGCCATAGAAGAAGAAGAAGAATAAGTTTTAATTAAAGTCTGGTTTAAGTATATTAAAGTTGTAAGAAGTTAGAACTGTTATTAAGTTACTTTATTAATATTTGAACAGGATTTGGATCCTGCATTGAAGGTGAAGTACTGGCGAGCATTATGTGCATTTCGAAATAAGAAAGTGGCCGACGGATGTGAATGTCCTGTGTTAACATATACAGATATTCAGGAATGTATAGACAATGTTAATCACCAGTATGAAGAGAACAATATGTGTAAGTTTCAACAGAATCATTGATATATTCTCAGAACTCTAACACATTTCAGTGTAATTTTAGTTTATCGAAATGTATTTGAATAATTTAAAGGAAATTGTTTTCTATGTACGACTATTTAACAAAATCATATGCATTATCATTTTCAGTAATATTGGCCTTACATGATTTAAACACTGCCATAGAAGAAAGAGACCTCAAAGCCATGTTAAGAGCTTTACAAAATCCTGGACTCAAAATGGTGGAATGTATTTCTTCAAATGATGCAGTGCTGTATTTCAAACTTCTGCATGTATGTATGTCATTTGAATGCCCCTTCTAGTTGCAGTGTTGCTGGAAAGTGACAGGTTTTAAGAGATATTAAAAAAATAATGTATATTATTCTTTATAATGTATTTCAGTGATAGATTTGTTTTGAACATTTAACTTTCTTATTTAGATACATAATGCAATCAATTTTTTGTTTTGTATTGTAATATATATGTTTGAATTAATGTTACAGAGTAATGGGTTTCTTATGTTATGCTTTTTTTGTGATATGCATTTATTCAGGAAAATGTTATGTATAGATATTTAAAATCGTTGTTTTGTGAAGGCAGTCTGCTTTGTTCAAAAGTGTCATGAATTTGTAGTCTTCCTTTCATATCCTTTCTGATTTACGCGCTTATTCCTTTAACAGCACGGCTGGGCACGGAAACAGAAGGAAGGAACAGTATTATGGCTTGAGGATGTGCAGTCAGCGGTGAGCCAGGCGTCAGATGAAATTCACGATGCTAAAGTTGGTATGTCATTGTAGTCAAAGTATAAGTCAGTCTTGATGTTGATTTGTCATGAAGAATGTACTAAATATAATATTCTTGTTTTTATGGTAATATACATAATAGTTTAGACCTGTGATTAAAATAATGCAGTTGTCGCTCCATATTGTAAAAATCACAGTAACAAAATGTTTTTGTGTTGATGCATTGAAGTTCTTTGTAGTTTTAAAAATTTAGCCTCAAATGTTTTTGACGTAAATATGTCTATACGGAAGGGTCATTCGGCAAAAACAGCGTTAGTTACAAAGATGTGTAAGATCCAGTGCCGAGTCACCTTTAAACGTTCATTCTTCAGGAATGGTATAAGAGTAAGGGTAATGTAACCTTATGTAAAATGATCAGTAAATAAGGACCTTTAAGAATCTGTAATGTATTTGTTGTAATTATAATTGTTTATACATTTATTGTAATTTTAATGAACCAATGTGTACAATTTTCAATGCATCTTGCGCGTTAAGCGCCCGCCTCTCGAAAACCGTAAGAGATGGATCTAGACATATTGCGTACGAAATACGTATTACCTCTTGAGCTTTCCATATCTGTTTTCAGATTTTACATACCACAAATGGTTTAGGTTCTACAAACATTTATTTATACAAATAAAGGCGCATCGCACTTCACGCTACTGCTGCGTTTGCGTATTTACGTCATACTATTTAGAGATAACAAGATGGATGACATTGAAGCTAAAAGAGTCAGATGATGATAATTTAAACACAAAGACGTATTTACGTCAGATTCTCCAGAACCGTGGTTCCACTGTCAATTTTTGTACAGGTCTTATACATGGAGTGAACTAAGATTTGTATTATGATAAATGTTTCTCTGAGGTAGTACTTTTGTGAGATTTTATTGTTTGAATGAAGGAAGTTTCCAAAGTTAACAGCCACAGTATATAAATCATACATTTAACACTTGAGGGTTGAAATTTAGTTGCCACGTGTAATTAAAATGAATTATATCTTATATAGCCTGTGAGTTACTTGTGAAGATGAAGAAGAATCTTCAAGATAATAACCAACAGTCAAGAATAACATCTCTTAATCCAATAGACGTTGGCATTCGTGAGAATAAACTTGATCCTAAATTCATGTCTGCTCTTGAAGAATGGTACCTAAGGAAGGTGTGTTGTTTTTTGGGTTTTTGTTGCATTTTGTGTGTGTGTGTGTGTGTGCATGTCTGCTGATATTCTCTGTAAACAATTGCACCTTAATTTCTTCTGCAAATATGAAGTATGTTTACAGGGCAATAAATTATGCTGTCTCATTTATGTCTTATTTAGGTTTCCTTAATAATTTTTCAGATCCCCAAAAATTAAATCCTGAATATGGCTCTGGAGCTGCCTATTTGTTTACTTGTTCACAGTTTCCAGTAATGGAGAAGTGGAAAATAGTATTTGATAAGCCCTGATGTTTTGTATCACGTTAACGATAATTCTTACTGCAGAGCCTCTCATGTATGGCATAAATTATTTCAGAGGAAACATTTTCACATTTTTGGAATTACATTCTAAATTTAAAGAATCTCTTTGACCCTTCATTAATTCTGATATACTGATTATTCCTTGAGTACAATCGTTTGGTGATGTCCGGTGATTCTTCAAGTCCGATCTCCTGTCCATTGCATGTGGATTATTTTCTTAATAGTGCTTGTGTGTTTTGTATAATTGCTAATGAAGATGTAATTGTCATTGTAGGACACTGGATTGATTAGTCCGTGGATTGTTCGTCATTCTAGAAGTGGACATGAATTCTATTTGAACTTGGAGTTATGTACCTACTCATGGAAAAAACCAGGTGACTTCCAATGTAAATCAAATTACTTGGCTCAGAAACAGGTTGAGCATATGAGAATTGGGAGGTGGTTGGTGGAACTTCAGGCAAGATGCAGGGGCTACTTACTAAGAAAGAGGGTTGGTGATCGACTAGAATTCTTCTACCAACACGTCGACAGCATCGTTAGAATTCAGGTAAATGGGTCACAGGTTTGCAGCTTTATATTTAATTCAGAATCTATATCATTGATAATTTTTATGTATTATTGGATGTGACCCCACCGATATCCACTGACATTGTGATTTAAAATAAAGGATTTGCATATGTTTCTATCAATGACTTTTTTATAAGGTTTGTTTCTGTTTGGGTGTTACAAAGCATGTTGAACATATCAACTTGGGTCATGCCTGTTTTAAACACCCTGAATAAAATTTTGAAAACTCTGATTCTTTCCCTGAAACATATGTGTAAGTATAGACACTTTTTTTTTATATTATTTAACTTTGACCTTAGATTAGAAGGTAAATTTTTGTTGTATTTTTACCTCACACCAAACTACCTTGACTGAGACAGTTATTTATAATAACCCATTTACAAAATTTGCTGGTTAGGCATGTCACTGTGTAAAGTTGTAGTTTCTTTTAACGTACTTAGTCTGGTAATGCAAATGACAGGAGGTTGTCTTTAAGTAGGCTGCAACTGCTCATTCCAAATCCTACTAACCATTCACTGTCAGTAACAATCATTAAGCTAGTAATAGTTAAGGCAAAGACAAAAGTATTCATCGCCCTGATGACGGAGGCAGTATGACCTCTGAAACGTTGGTAAACATCGACCAGACTGCACAGCGCCACAACCCAGAAGACAGAAGTCTTCATACTCACCGCCCTGATGATGGAGGCAGTATGACCTCTGAAACGTTGGTAAACATCGACCAGACTGCACAGCGCCACAACCCAGAAGACAGAAGTCTTCATACTCACCGCTGTGAAAACCTCAAATCCTACAAAAGTATATAATTTATTGGAATAAGAACCAAAATGCACTGACAGAAATTACATAAAATATGTTCTTCTATAAACTTTATCTTGGAAAACCATTGATAGTGTTTGTATCGTCAGTGATGTGTCTGTGTTTGCAGTCATTCGTGTTTCATGTTGTATTCATTATATCCTGTTACTTTCATGCAGGCATGGTGGCGTTCAGTTGTCCAGAGGCGGAAGTATAGAACGATGTTAGCAGAGTACCGTGAAACAAAATACACGGACACACAATTGCGAAAGAGCATGGTTTGCCTGGATTATTACAAAGCGCAGGTAAGTTTCATAAATACTCGGAACCATATTTCATATGAATGCATAAACATTTCACTTTGTTCAAGCTGTTGTAGAATCCTTCTGATATTTTTAGGTGTGCATTACGGATTTTACTTATGGGTCTATTAGTTCTGTAAGCAGAAAGGTAGTGTAACGTCTGTCACATTTCTCTCTTATGTGCTTAATGTATGTTGTTTATGTTACTTTCTTGACGCAGGAAAATAAAATCATCAAAGTTCAAGCATTTTGGCGTGGACACAGGGTGAGAAAGATGTTTCTGTCATTGTTCCACCAACCACAACCTCCGTTCGAAGTTGTTAGACGTTTTGCTCATCATCTTGACTTCAGTGCAGATGATTACAGGAGAGATATACAGCTTCAGGTAAAACAAATAATGATTTGTAGGTCTTTTGTTTATGCTTCGAGTATTAGTTTATAAAAGGACAAATAGAAACACGTACTCTTATTGGTACCTCATAGGTCTTTTTTGAAAATGGTTTTAATTATAATCTATGGGGCTTAGTGACCTCTATATTTTGTCATACACCAGTTCTTTCTATGATGGGTTTTCTAAGAAACCTGATCAAGTTGTTTTTAGCTTCATGTAAGTAGATACTTAAGGACTGGTACAAACCAAAATTAAATTTTGCTTGTACCTTTAGTGTTATCATTACCAAATTTTGTCAAAATCATTTATGAGATGTGGATGAAAGATGTGGAAAGCAGATACATGTAGTTGCCATTATGTTTTTATTTCATGCCCCCTTTTTTTTGGTAATTAACATAAAAATTATGAAAACATGGACTTACCTGAACCATGTTCTAATTTCAGAGCCTCAAGGGGCAGGTTGTGCAAACTATCCGTCACAATCAGATGTTGGCCCAGCAGCTGGACGCTATGGACGTGAAGATCGGTTTGTTGGTTCACAACAGAATTGCGTTGCAAGTATGTATAACAAATTCTTTGTGTTGAAGAAAGCATTAGCACGTATTTTGGAAAATATGTAACTTTTTTGTAAAAGGACTATGGAAGCCTTGTGAGATGGAATATGTTTCTTATGTGGCAAAACCTTATTTGATTTATAACTTTAATTTCTGTAATTGGGGTCTGCAGTGGCCGCACAGTCTGAGGCGTGGGCCTTGTGCCGCTTGGTCGCAGGGACCGTGGGTTCGAATCCCACTCAAGCCATGGATGTTGTGTTGTGCTGTCCTGTGTACAGGTAGAGGCCTTGCGACGGGCCGATCTCTCATCCAAGGAGTCCTACCGAATGTCCATAGATCAAGCCAACTGAAAAGTTGGGGACCCGTAAAGGGTACCGGAAAATGTACAAACATTGTTAAACCGGAAAAACAAGAAGAATTTCTGTCATTTTTAGGGATGGAAAATATGTCTATTACAAAATGTTAGATAGGCATTCAGACTTGTACAGTTACTTTGAATGAACTAAGCAGCAGGAAATGGGCGTGACATTTGGAACTTGGAACGTAAGGAGTTTCTTTGTAGGACAGGTCTATTGAAAATGGTAGCAAGTGAAATATACCTGACATTTGGAACTTGGAACGTATGGGGTTTCTTTGTAGGACAGGTCCATTGAAAATGGTAGCAAGTGAAATATACTTTAGATTTGAATGGAGTAAAATATGTCAGATGGGATAAGGGTGACATTGAAACAGCAGATGATTGATTATACATTTTTTTTATGGGAGAGGATACACTAATTATCACTTAATGACACTCTTTTATTGTGTGTAAGGGGGCAGTAGGTTGGTGATAGAATGTTATATATCGAAGAGGCTGTTGATGTGATGGGTGTTCTGAATATGCAGGCTGTAACTGAGGATAAAAGCGATAAAGGAATCCTTTCTAATATTGAAATGGAATTTATCTCACTGTGTGGCATTTACTAAGCCTTAATGATTTTACATATGTAAGTATGACATTCTAGGATGTGGTTAAACACGGTACGAGTTTAAATGAGTTGTCGAAACAGCATCAACTGACCACAAGTCAAGGTGAAGCAAGTTGTAATCGAGGATTAAAAAGTCTGACAAGAGAGGGACGGAAGCTGTTGGACGGCTATCAGCATTTATTCTATGCTCTGCAGACTACTCCAGGCTATTTGGCAAAACTTATCTTCTGTCTGCCTTTGAGCCGTAGCACAAGATTCTTAGAGACAGTTATTTTAACACTGTTCAATTTTGGCTCCAATCCTCGTGAGGAATATCTTCTTCTGAAACTCTTCAAGACTGCACTTGAAGAAGAAATCAGGTACTCTTAAGTAATCATTATCAGTATCCTACAAGATTTTCTTGTTCAAGGCATTAGTTTTTTAAATGTTGTTTGCCATATGAATTAAAATTTGTGTAGCGGTTGGCCTTGGGTTTTTTCACATTCATTGCAACAAAATCTACACTATTCTACGTAACATGCAAAATAAGTGTGTGAAGTGATGTTTATTATTTTTGTGCAATTGGAAGAGAAGCTGAAACCATAACCACCTAATTATGTTAAAAACTCAATTCATGTGAATTAGGTTGTAATTGAATACACGTGCTGATCAAACCTAATGGTTTGAGTGTTACTGGTTTCTTCTTTGTTTTAAAATTATGTATTTCTTTCATAGGTGTAAATTTACAAAACCTTCAGATGTAGTCACAGGAAATCCCCTAGTCCTCAGAATGGTGGTAAATTATTCACGCCAGATGTCCAGTCAGAATGCGCTCAGAGACGTCGTTGGACCTCTTATACTGCAGGTAATCAAATGTAACTTACGTGAACTTTTTCGTCTGTTTATTATGAGTTATATGTATGAAGAGATTTTTATTAAGGACTTTAATAAATGGTGTGCATGGGATACAGTGACTTCAAAAATCATGGAAGAAGTGTTACAGGCAAAATGTATTTTACTGGTCTGTAAGCACAAATAATGACAGCTTTTGAAGTTCCTCTAAATGAGTAACAGCATATATTGTTTTTTTCTCTCTCCCAAATTTGGGTTTCAAATTATGCTTTTTATTTTTAGTTACCTATGACAAAGTGTTTCTTCTAATTTTTGGGCCAGAAGTTTTATGTCGATAGGAAACTTCTTTTGAAAATTGTGATATTATAACAAATTTTAATTGAATTGACTTTTCACACTGGATTAAATTATTTACATTAAATTGAAAATTTCTTTTAGTTTTTTTCTCAGTGTACTGGTCAGGGAAATGTGAAAGTGTATATGCATTTAACTTTTTCCTAGTTCTCATGGTTTTTATTACAACCCTAAAATAGTTTTAGAGGAAAGACATGATGTGATAAAGTTTTAAACTCTTTTCACAGGTGCTAGAAGATAAGACCATATCATTTGAGACAAATCCAGTTGATATTTTTAAGACTTGGAGGAACCAGTTTGAAATGGAAACTGGCAATTCTTCGTAAGTATATGATGGTTCAAATATATGCATGTTTGAAGATGTGTGAAGTATCTTAATTATGAATTGCAGGAATTTCATACTCTTTTAGCTTCATATCAATGTCCTTGAAAAATATTTAGTCAAAGTAATTCCAATTTTATATGAAGTTCAACTCAAACATCCTAAACTTTGTCAAGAATATTTTAAGAATAATTCTTAGTGAAATCAAAACTTTTATTTGAAACATTTTAAAGAATTAATAACTTATTATTTAGTGTGATATATCTCATGTGATTAGATTAGCTTTGTAATAATAAATTTGTATTTGCAGTAATTGAAGATCATAGCTGATGAGGACTGTAAATAATAACACATATATACGGAGCCTACCTTTCTGCTCCTGATGCATGAAAAATTTTTAAAGGCACAGTTGCAAGTTATTTTCTTTTGGTTTAATTAATGCTGTGTTGGATTTACTTTGTGCTGTGCAGGAACCTGCCTTATTCTGTCACACAAGTAGAAGCACTGGACTATGAGGAAGTACAGAAGAAACTGTACAGCAGCATTAGAAGACTGAAAGAAGCCACCCTCACGTTCTTGCATCGGATAGTAGAATCACGTCACCTGATACCATATGGAATGCTGTACATAGCTAAAGTTCTTTATGGGTCGCTCATGGAGAAGTTCCCCAAGGTACCCGAGAAGGAGGTTTTGAAGGTACACATAAAATATTCTGACATTTGATATGATGTAGTTTCCTATATGTGCAGAAATTCTGGACAAAACTTTCCAACCTCCCTGTGGACATTTTACAGGCAATGATATGAAAGAAAACATTGCACTGCAATTAATTCATGGAAATTTGTTGATGAATGAGTAACTAGCCAGTAAAATCTCTGCATTTAGCATGTCATCAGTAATACCAAGATGGTAGCCAGGCAAATTTCTGAGTTTTGAGTGATGCTAGTCCTGCTTAATATGGGCCACTTGTATATGTAGATTCACTGATTATGGTTTGTTAAATAGGTGGTGGGTAACCTGATTTATTACAATTATATCAACTCTGCAATTGTGGCTCCAGACGCTTTCGATATTATAGCACTGCCACCCGATAGGACGCTGTCTAATAATCAGCGGCGCAACCTAGCCAGCATTGCAAAGATTCTGCAGTTTGCAGCTTCCAAGAAAGGGGTAAGTTAATTAAGATGTAATAAATCTCTTAGCTTCAGTACCATATTTACTGTACTGTAAGATGACATTCCCCCATCACCAATGGCTGGAGAAATGTTATTTCCATAGTCGTTTACAGTTATTGTTTAATAGCTAATTTTCAGGCTTTCAGATGTCTTCATCTGCCACTTTCTTAGAAATTGTTAAATAATTTATATTCATTTGTAAGTATGATATTGACCTCGCATCATATTTTTGAATGCAAATAAAAGTAATAAGACTTCATCATAGAGTGTGGTAAATATGATTGCATGTGTTTATTGTTACTGATTGCTTTCTTGCCGTGTTTCATTAGTTTGGTGAGGAGTCAAAACATCTTGCATGTTTGAATACATTTATCATTGAATGCCATGAGAAGCTGAAGAAATTCTTCAGGGAGTGCTGCAGGGTAGAAGAACTCGAAGAGCACTTCAGTATGCACGAGTTCACTGAAGCTACACTGATTTCCCGCCCTGTCTTGTATATCAGTTTGCAGGTTTGTTGCATATTTAATTATTTGTGTTTTGGAAGGTTCGTTTAATTGTTTGTACCATGTTGAAAATCAGGCTTTGTTTGTAGAACAGATTGCAACTTGCATGAAACAATAGTGAAATTTTGTCACACTGGAGGAAGGTGCTATATCCATTTCATAGTTCCGTAAAACAGGATACAAACTGCAAGTCTTAGCAATAAACATAATTACTAGAATGTAACTGGTATGAGGAATACTTTTAGATCAAAAAATACTATTTATTTTTGTAAGGTACCAGGTTTGAAAGTTTGGCAAACCAGCTAACCACATTATGGTGTCATTACTGAGTAATGGATTAGCTACTAATTGCCATGAAAGCTTGAAAACTTATATAAAATAACATACTTTTCCAACAGGAAATTTGTGATACTCATGAACTCCTACTAAAATATCAGGACCTCATTGCTACTGATCCTTCAGACCCGCTACATGAGCTGCTGGAGGACTTGGGTCCAGTGCCTTCAGTGGGAATGTTACTTGGAAGTATGTGATTGAAATTTTGAGGTCTTATGTTCATATTCGTGGTCAAATAAATGCATTTTCTAAGTTTGGGTTGAAGAGATTGTGTGTTCCCAAAACTTACATAGCACTGTCTTCTACTGAGATCTTTTATTTTATTTTTCAAACAAGTGGCGATATCAGCCATTAACATTACCTGCAGATAGCACTGTTTTGCAGTAATGTTATTAGTAACAGTATTATTTAAATTTAAATTCCTGCCCCTCTGACTTGTCTGTTTTCCAATATTTAAATGAATAAAAATAAATATGGGAGCAAACTAGGGAAGGTATGTAAATTAAGTTGGCCAGTCTGATTATTTCAATTTCTTTTATTTGAGAAAAATTATTCATCTCTAATAGTCTTAATTATATTATAAAAATTGTAATAGAGTGTGAAGTCAATACTATTTTGAAATTAAAATATAATGTGAAGAGTTGAAAATGTTAACTAATTGACATTCCTAGTCATAACGTATAACTGTGATACATTTTTCTGAGAGGTGTCCAACTCCCGCGTACCCACATATACTATATATAGCAAATGTGTTCAGTCAGTTTGCGCTGTATCATGCATTTCGTTTTTAACAGCTGGGAGGGACGCTGCTCTGCCAAAAACAGAAGTGTGTCTTACACTTGTAAACAAGTTTGAGGTACCTGAGAACGATGATCAAGATATTAACAAGCTTTTTATCAGGTGGGTGCTCTGTTGTTTTTCTTCCTTAAGTCGTTTCCACCCTAGTATTTTGACATCTGCAAAGGAGTCTCCAAGTGTCCATATATGTCCATTCTTGCATTTTGTCTGTTCTCCTTCAGTCTCCGCTATCCTCCATACATATTCTCTTAGCTTCGTCTGCCCCTGGGACTTTTTCCACTAATATTCATTTTGAAAAGTCTTTTTGGCATCACCACAGAATACCAAAAAGGTGTTATCTTGTAACTGGCGCAAAATGTTTTACTGCTACACCAGAGACATTCAGCATACTTTCTGCATAGACGGGGACGTACTTCCGTGTCTTTATATTGTGGCACAAACACGTGTTATTGATAAAGTACATAGTACCATCCACTGTACTTTGTATGCACAGAAAAAATCATGTTATGCTTTCTCTTTAAATCGCAAGAATGTGCAAGGGAAGATTGTTAATCATCATTTTTATTTACGAGTGTTGAGAAATACCTGTGTTACAAAATAGGTGATACGGTATGTAAAATACTTCACAGAACAAAGGAGCTGCTGGTTTGGATACTTCCGTACCTTCAAGGGAACAGCACCTTACGTGAAGCTCTGTTCGTCGGGTCAGACACAGAGGAGCAGCTGTTCCAACAGCTACTGTATCAACGCAAGCAGAGAAATGCTCACAGCTCAGCTCCTTCCAAATCATGGTACTCAGTCAGACTTCAGTTAAATCATGAATAAAACTGCTGTGGAACCTGATGGAAATTTTACTGCTATTCCGGCCATTGGACATTAGCCTGAGCCAGGTGTATCTGATTTCCTTCTACACAGTCTATCTCACCACATTTCATTTTAATTTTCTTCTTGCATCTTCTGCTTGGTCTTCCAAATGGCCACTTTCCAAAAGAAATTGATCTGGAAGTAAATTTAGACAAGACTAAATTCTGTAATAAAATCATAATTTGGCCATATGTACTAAAACACTCTTAAGCCAACGTAAGAAGATAGGTGTGAGGTCCAGATGAATTTAGGGAAATAAATTCTGCAGATTTGTTATTTATGTAGAAAGATTACACCATCCTGTCTGCTTTCCGAAACATTAAATATCAAGATATATGTGTGTAATTTTACTAGCTGTTTGTGTGGTTGTTTCTTAATTCCAGGTTAGAACACAAATTACAAGTGTTTGAGAACAGAAGGCTGAGGAAAAATTTGAACCTTAAAAGGGATGGGAGATAGAAGTGACCTGGGATTATGTCCAATGGTGGGTTTTGGTAGCGCTTTTGTTGAATGTTCAGGTCGTACAATTACAAAGTAAGTGGGCACAAAATTTTGGCGTGGAAAACTGTTGGAAATAGGCTACTTGGAAGAGTAAGCAATAGATGGAAGAATAACATTAAGACGGAGATAAGTTTTTATGATGGGAGATAGAAGTGACCTGGGATTATGTCCAATGGTGGGTTTTGGTAGCGCTTTTGTTGAATGTTCAGGTCGTACAATTACGTGTGTTGAATTGCTCACGTTTACATCTAAAGCATATCCTGGGGAAACTTAAAGTTGTCCATACCCCAATCAGATTATTTTTATTGTGTCAATATTTGTTGCAGTAATTCTCTCCAGGACTGCAAACTGATCCTGAGGCAGTACCTTGCTAGGCTAGAGCTTGCAGGCTTAGTTTCTGCTGCTGATGGGTATCAGAGCATTGTGTCAGCCATCGCGAGAGATATCTGCAGCAAACGCAGGCATAGGGAACTTCGAAGGAAGGTAACATGTCGTGCTTAAAGTACTCTGTTTATCACAAAACTGTTATGTAATGCAGAGATGAGCAAATCTTTCATCAGTTATTTATTATGTATAACATCGCAATTTGAAAGTGAAATGTAGCAGTAAATTTGCAGTGTTATTAAATTCTTTGTTAGTTTTCATATTGAAAATTATATTGTACACTGTTTTCTTCAAATGATGAATTGTAATGTAATGATCTTGTAGGTGGTTATCAGTGTTTAACAGGAAAATATTGTTTGTGTCTTCAGGACATTTATTCCTGAAGTTGGAGGCACATTCCTCCATAATGTTGGTAGCCATCCACAACTATTGATCTGACAATGTGAGATAATGAGACAACATTTCATTTAGTGAGCAAAACAGTGGCAGTCGAAGTAAATTTGTTGTTACTAAAAAGAATTATAAACCTGTAATTAATAGAAGTCAGACTGTGACTTGCTTTTGTCCTAACTACATCAAAGCCCAGTGTGATGAAAAACAGATAAAATGTGGCTTTATGAATGGTACCACTGGAAGTAAAAATCTGCGACAGTACAGTTTTAATGCTTGATATAACATTCTGTGAGATACTTTTGTAATACTCATCATTTCTGTTCTTTCAGGAACTGCAGGCACTAAGAATCACAAAACAAAGTTTAGATACGAAGACAAAGTTTTATGAAGAACAGATTACTTACTACAATCAGTACATACAGAAGTGTCTTGAAAACCTTAATGCTGGAAAAAGGTAAGCACTCTGCATATTGAAATTTTGGATTTTCATGAAGATTTCTGTCTTCTGAGTTGTTGCACCGAATAGTATGGTAGATGTTTACCAACGTCTCAGAGGTCATACTGCCTCCGTCATCGCCCTGATGACGGAGGCAGTATGACCTCTGAAACGTCGGTAAACTTATAGCAGACTACATGGCGCAACAACTCAGAAGACAGAAATCTTTATACTCACCGCCATGGGAGCTTCAAATCATACATTTTGAATTTTCATGTCTGTGAAGATGTCGTTTGTGGTCTTCTGGGTTGTGACACTATGTAACCTCATGAATGGCAAAGGACTACTGTACTGTATTCTATTCATGAATAAGTCTTGAAATTCCTATGGTCTAACCTTATGAAACTAACTTTGCTCTTGGTGATTATGTTCTTTGCCAGGAGTGTTCATATTTGTAAGTCATCAGGGAAGCAGCCAGAGAAGTTGAAATCAAAGTTGACGCTGCGTTATACAGCAGCTAAACTATATGAGAAGGGTGTTTTGCTGGAGGTAGATGGTCTTCCTACAACACAGTTCAGAAATGTCCAGTTTGAAATTACACCGACTGATCAGAACGGTGTGTTCACCATCTGCGGCAAGTTTATGGGAGTTGAACTGGAGAAGATTGAAATTGATATCCAGGTAAGATGAAATTTTAACCCAGCTCTCTTTGGAAAGACTCGACCCTATATTTTATCCTGTTATTTTTAACTACGTTCTGGGAAGACAGAACACTTCCCATGTATTATGGGACAGCAAGAAAATGGTGTTTTTTAATGGTAGACATGAAAGTTTAGAGAAATAAATTGTGTCCATATTACATGGTCAACTGCTGCATACAATATTCCAAACTCAGAAGCTCTCGCTACATTATATGTATTTTATGTCACTAAATTTATCCATTAGCAGTCTTCATATCTTCAAGGTGAATGTCTTCTGGGGTTCTTGACATTTGAGGAGTGCCTACTGCCTCCATCATCACATACAATTCCTGTATTCCTTTTGGTTTTCATTATCCTTCATGCATTCTGAGATGCAACTTCATATAACATCACTGATTTATAAATCAGTATTTTTTTTCCTTTATCATTTCTTTCACTTCATTTTTGCATTGTCTGTTCTCAAGTTTCTCTTCCATATTTGGAAAAAATGTCATATTTGGAGCCTGCATTTTAATTTATTTCTTTAGAAAGACCACATTTAATTTCTTTGTTGGAATGAAATAAACTAAAAAATAAATGGTTCCTTTGCATGCTTGTTTAACATTCATTCCCAGGTTTATGTCAT